GCTTAAGTACTTTCATTAGTCCACAAAAGCAAAGACAACTAATACTTATATTATAATCAATTTTGTATATTAAAATATGTCTTGCGTAAATATATTTAATTTATCATGTCCTTGTACTTATATAGTTTCGCTATAAATTAAGGTTATTTTAATTACAATTTATTCAAAATTTTAGACAATTGTTTTGGAAATTACCGACACGCTAATGTTTGTTTCTTGCCTTGTCTTCAACAAATAGAAAATTTATCTTTTTTTCGGCCATCGAAAATAGTAGATTCATTGTAATAATTATTATTGTAATTAACTTCACAAGTTACACAGACATATCAGGAGTTAATTACCTATCACTTTTGCTCATCTTGGTGTTGTACACGCTTGATATTAAATAAAAGTAATTTTTGTGATATCATGAACCAACAGCTCATAAGATTAACAAAATTTTACCAACAGAATTTCATAAACTCAAAGAGCACAGCTGACAGAAATAGACATAATTTTGCCCACAAAATTTACAGATTTCATAAACCTAGTAGCATAGCACATAGAATTGACAAAACTTAACCCCCAGTTTTTCACTTTTCAAGACCACCACCTCTTCTGAAAATCATACCCCCTCTTTATCCCATCTTACCTTCAACTATATTTACAAGAGTTCAACCACACTATTTCAATACACATTCTACATATAACCATGTCACTTATGAAGACAAATCGTAACTGTTTAGCAAGTCTTCCAAGGAAGCTTCAATGCTGAGAATAATGGCACAACCTTACCATCAAATCAGCGAAATACCAAAGGTGAGTTTGACATTATTTTATCTATATCAATTCCTTCAGACCTCACCACTCTCTTATACATAATTTGGAAAACTTTTCACACAAAATTATCTATATCAATTCCTTCAGTACTCGATGCAGATGTTGCTAAAGGAAGAGATCTAATAAAAAAAAAAAGTGACTCTTTTTCAATGGGTTTTTGGTGGATGTTCTTGTAGAAGGAGAATGGTATTACTTCCACAGGGACATATAGAGCAAAATTTCAAGTTATCAAGAAATCACCATTCATCCTATTTTAAATGCCAAATAAGAAGTGGAGGCTTCAACCATATTATGATTTGAGGCTTCGGGAAAAGAGCAAGATCAATATGATAGGAGAGATCCATAGATCACATGTAAAGGATTGATTCCATTATAGAGTACTAAAAATATGTGAAAGATTGAATCCATTATAGGTTTTAAATATTTTCAAGTTATTTAGATGGAAAGAAAAGGAACTTATCCATGGTAAATTTTTTTTATTGGATTTCTTTTGATGAACTAGAAATGTAAATAGTAATGGTTATATTTCTAACCAAAAGAAAAATGAGCAATGCTAGTATATCAGATTGCCCAGTAAACCCTTATTTACTACCATCATGTTAATATTATTGGCTAACTGTGTATTATTAGCTTTCATAATTTGTCTCTCACTATCTTATTAATTAATATAAAATCTTTATAAAAAAACATATATTCGTTTTCCTTTACAAATCACTTCTTTTGTTTTTGGTTCTTTCAAGGACAAGGAAATTAGATCTGATAGCTAATATATATTTTAAGTGACAGATAATTTCTATCTGGCATGCGACTCCCGATCATAACTTTTTATAATTTGTAAAATATTTATAACTGTATGTTTTTAACTGACATGAAAAACCACTAATAACAAACAATAATTAAGGTGACATCCATAATTTGTTTGAAAAAAAAAAGATCATAAATAGTTTGAAGGTATCAAATCAATTAATGTAAAATATAGAAAAGTATAAATAGTCGTATTAATTATTGGCTTCTTTCTGTTTTGCATTTCTGAAAAGGGAAAAAAAATTAGTATGATAGCCTTTAAACCATGGCCTTATACAATGTACATATTTTCACAAATGACAAATAGGTGTATATGAGTGATTTGTTTTTGAGAAATTAAATCATGCCTTTTCATGAAAATTTTAAAAATATTATTATAGCTGTATCTGACGTTTTAGTAGGTTGCCAAATTTTTTCCATGACCAAATTATTTCATTTGTCATAATTTATATAATTTCATATGCTCGTATCATATTCAAACTAATTAGGTGGTAAAAAAAAAGGCCAAAATAATTATTATTTGTATGGATGACAACTAATTTACTATTATCGGTATTAAATTTAATCATCAAGGCAAAAACTCTTTGTCCGGAACAACACTAAACGAGAATGAATAACCACCATATGGTGCTACTAGTGCCTCAATTCCCATTAACAACTTTATACAAATACAATGGTTCAATTTACACCTCTCATCTCACTCTTCTCAACAGCTATTCTTTCTTACTATAATTTCATTTCTCCATTCACTACTACAAAAAAAACATTTAATGGCAGTTAAATTAAGCTTTTTATGATGGTTTTGGGAGCGACGTCTATGTCATCGACATAAAATATAGAGGATTTCACGGCAATTTAAGAACCGTCGTGAATTTTTTAGTCTACGTTTCACCCTATTGATTATGATGGAACGGGAGAACAAAGTCTCAAAGGAAGGGGTCTAAAAATCAATTAACCAATAATCTCTCACCAGTTAAAAGCATTTTGATAGAGCAAACATAGATTCTTTCTCGCCATAATAGCGCCACTTAGCTTCACCTTCAACCACCAGATCGAAGCCACTAAAATTTAATAAAGATAAAATCAAAGACTCATATTTGATAAAATCAAAGACTCAGATCTGATAAAAATCAAATCTCCTTAAACTCAGAGTAAATATCATATTTTTAACCAAAGAAAATAATTATATCAAACCATAAAAACTATGAAATCCACAGAAAGAATGGAGGTGAAAAACTCACAAATAAGAATGAAGAAGATGAGGCAATGGCGACGGCAACAGCGACAACAACGGTGATGGAAGAACATGGTGAAGATAATAAAAGCAAAGGATAAACGCTTACAAAGGTAAGAGGAGGGAGAAAATTGAGTGAATATGGTAATGGGAGACTATGAGCTCTGACTCTAAAAAGTGAAAACTATTGCGCGATGGATTTTAAAATTCTCATAGACTTTTTACGGCGGTTATTTAAAAAACTACTGTTAAAAGTATTTTTTACAGCGGTTTTCTTTAAAACCACCATTAAAAGAACTTTTTATGACAGTTTTTTAAATAACTGCCTTTAAAAATATGTTTATAATTATAAAAATGTCACCGTCATATTCTTTACAGTGTTTTTTCTAATAATCACCGTAAATTAGCGTCGTAAAAGCTCTTTTTTGTAGTAGTGATTCTTATTCCCTTTCTATTATTATCTCTCCTTTATCTTTCTTTCTACAATTCCCAATCTTTGATCCCACTGGTAAGTAATTCTAATAGTAAAAAAAATGTGAAAGAGCAAAGCATAGAGAGAGAATAAAAAAAGAGAATTGGAAATAAGATAAGACAGCTAAGCTTTTCATTATCTTGTTCACATTAGATGTTAGGATTATTCACATAGTCAAAAACAAAGTATACAATCTTCTCTATGACTGTCTTTTCGAAGATAGTTCCATCAAGTCCTTTTGGACTCCTGTTATCTTATGGTGTCTTCATATGCAACTGGTAACAAGTACGAAAGGGGCATTTATATGATCTTTGAGTGTATGAGACATGATTTACAAGACTTCATTGGATGAGCTAGGGCGGAATTGACGTCTTCCCATGTTAAGGTATTATTGTAAATTGTGCAAGTGATATATTATATATTAATGGTATTTTATTTTATTTGTTGTTTGGGTAGCTTTTTTTCTTGACTACGTTACATGAAACAACTTATGTTAGGGATTCATTGTTACCATGCAAATAATGTCCTTCATCATGAAATCAAACTTAATTGTCTCCGAAAATATTAAATATTTGCAAATTTTATTATCACATCTAAAGCACAAATTTAATACGTCATGTGTTTTGTTCTATCGTAATCAATAACCTTCTTATAAACAATGAAAGTCTACTTTCAGCGGCGACTTTTTTTGTCGTAGCCGAAAGTCATCGCCTAAAGTCTTTTTTTTTTTTTTGGTAGTGATTGTGAAAGAGAGAAAGAGGGAATAGGGAAGAGAAGGAGAGAGAAGAATAGGGAGAAGAGGCAACGAGGGGAGAGTGAACAAGAGGAAAAACACCTAACTGTGCAATAATATGTTAATCATAATCTAAGAACAGTTGGATTATTCATCTAGTTATAGACTTAATTAGGGTTAGATGCCTTAGAGAAGTTACCCCTTAACTAACTTTTGTATATTATTATTATCATCACACAATAAATACCAAATAAGACAAATTGGCTTGGGGTTTCTAAACTACCTTTATATTTGACATTGAAGCCATTAATACCAATGTGGAGATGACTTAGAGAAGTCTAAGCATAATAAGATCACAGAATAACATACTACCCCAAAAAGACAAACCACATTACATTTCTTGGATAGGAAACAAAATCATACAGACATTATTTATTCACAAGTAAAACTCATACAACCACAATTACATCACACACAGACTTGGCAATTGTTCCCTTTAGCAACAAAGAAAACAAGAAACAAAGTCGTTTCTGTAACCTATTCTCTATTATACTATGCATGCCCTGAACTAAACTCTGTTGTAAGAATCCACAAAAGCAGCTCATAGTCAGCGTGTGTTTCTCTTGGGCTTTAGGGAATGACGAGCATGCTTGATGGTATTGTTTATAGACTCAGACTTTGGTGGGGTCCTTGGGATTGTTATGTTTGAGGAATGGAGTTCTTCCAAGGTGGCTACAACATGTATCATAGTTGGTCTATATTTTGGATCTGCATTTAGGCATTGATATGCAAGTGCAGCTGCAGCTTGAGCTCCTTTTTTCGAGTACTGACCACCTAACCTCAAATCTATGATCCTTGAAATCCGCTTGCCCTCTTTGAGAAATGGCATTGCCCAATCAACCAGATTTTCCCGTGGCTTTCCGGCTTTGTCAGCCTCTACCACCCTTCTCCCGGTCAGTAACTCTAACAAGACAACACCAAAGCTGTATACATCGCTCCTCGGTGTCAAGTGACCTGTTACATGAAAGCAAAAATGAACCATCAACTTTTTGCAAGGTAACAGGTTCATCAGTTTTATCTAACATATACATGATGCTATCAGTTTTGGATGAGAACTACTAGTAATAACTGATATTGCCTTTTTCAACCCAATAGCCAATAGTTAATGAGGACCCTGTCTTGTCAACGTATAGAAGCCTTCATGACTCAAAAGATTTTGTCTTCAGTCAAATATACAAACAAGCCAACCACAGATGCCTTTGGGACATGCAAGAATTCATATTTAATCACATGTTGAAACAAGCAAAGCAATTGCTAAACTAAAAAAGGGAAAGCTTAAGTATAGATTGGCGTTTTGGGAAATACATCAAACTTGATAAGCATAGGTGATGTTGCAACATCTTTGGTAAACCCAATCCATATATCTCCTCCTTATGTGCCACTTGCTGAAAATGCTTGTGTTTAATTCAACTCTTCAAAACTGTTATACTAAAAAAAGAGGATTCTTCATTAAGATATCTTGTTTTGACATCTGCTCTAAATAGAAACATATTTGAATAACACGCTCCTGATTGGAATTTTCCCAAATAATAAATTGTTAGAACTTGACCCCCAGGAAAAAGGTGCTTCACTTCATAATTTTATGCAATTGCATTTAGATTTGAAAACATAAATTTATCATAATTTGGTTGGAACAGATTTGGCATGTGATGAAAGGCAGATTAACAAGCATAAATATTTGCTATTATCAGGACAGGGTATCATGGCTTCTCATTGCTTTTGTTCTCCATAAATGGTTATTTCATCTCTCCAGCTTCCATAACCAGTAACCATTGACTTCTCCAAAATGTGACAATCTAACAACTTCTCAAGAGAAATGACTCAGATGTGATAGAGCTGAATCTACCTGTAGCTACATACTCTGGTGCAGCATAACCCTGAGTTCCAATAATTCTGGTTGAAACATGAGTGTTATCTCCAGTAGGACCATCTCTTGCCAAGCCAAAATCTGAAAGTTTTGAGTTGAAGTCCTGCATATGTTTTCGATGAAGTCCTTCAGAATGGAAGATTCCATATAAAACTGATGTGGTCATTACAGATTTTCAAAAAAGTAAACAAATGAATTGTATATTACATACCGAATCAAGTAATACATTAGAAGCCTTTAAGTCGCGGTAGATAACATTTGCATCCAAGGTATGTAAAAATGCTAATCCTCTAGCAACGCCAACTGCAATATTGATCCGTGAAGCCCAGGATATGGGCTGAACACCTTCTGCAGAAAGAAAAGGTGACTTTGAGGGATCATGTGATAAATGACATAATGGGCCAGTTAAGAGGCAATATGCAGCACTCTTGCAATCAATTTATTTATTTTGTTAAAAGATATGGCTTAAATATCATTTTATGCTATATCTGGAATTAGAGATGACGACGAAAATATGGCCTTGTGAAATAATGAGAAAGGAAAACATGAAAATTTTCAAGTTCTGCCATCATTAAAAGCCATTGAAAATTTTCAGTGAATTAATCAATTCAGATATCAAGAATAAAAACCAAAACCGATACATATCATGATAAAAATGTAAGTTGTACACCCGTGCAATACACTCACAATTGGCTTTACCATATTATTAGCTATGGTAAATAAAGTTTCGTTAATATTAGGAATTAAAAAGACAGGGGAGAATGAGAAACTACTTACTTCTGAATAAATGATTCTCCAAACTTCCTCTCTGCATAAACTCATAAACTAGAAGCCTGTTTTTAGCATCTGAGCAATAGCCAATAAGTTTCACTAAATTTTCATGGTGAAGTTGACCTAGATAATTGACTTCTGCCTGCCAAGGAAAAAAATGGGAAGTCAGTTAACACCTAGTAACGAACAAGGAAGTTAGCAAGCAGCTTGATCTAGAGGTTCTTTGTTACATACAAGCCATTCCTTGTGGCCTTGAAAGCTTTCTGGCTTAAGTTTCTTGATGGCCACCATGATCCCACCCCCAGGTCTTGTGGGAGCAAAGGAGTTCTCATTAATCCATCCCTTGTACACAAACCCAAAGCCTCCTTCCCCAATTAGGTTTTCTTGTCTGAAATTCCTTGTGGCTTCTTTTAGATCATTGAAGCTGAAGGATTTAAGACTGGAAGAGATGGATCTGTCGCTGGTTGGTTCTAAAGTTTGTGATGCAGCTTTTCGTTCTGAAGAATTTGAATTCTTACTCGTCCCACTTTGAAACTCAGCCTTTCCTGATAATATATTAGAAACAGAGTAAAAGCAATCATGAGTTTATATTTATTAAATCATCGCCACTTTGCTGTATCACTCCAGAAAGTCAAGGAATATTAAGTACCAATATAGAGTGCAATTATATATGACAATATCTTACTTAGCATACCCGTGCAAAAAATGAACCCGTCCCCGAGCTCCAACCCAGATCCATTAGCATGAAAAGCTATAGTTTAACATTAAAATCTAGATGCAAAATGCAACGGTTTTTATTTGTTTTTTTTGGGGGGGGGGGGCGTTCTATGATTGCGAGCCAAGGAAATCACAATGATTCAAGGTAGTTAAAAACATGAAAATATTAGATACCAACTAGGACAGAAACCACACAAAGGGTTTAACACGTTTGGGTGTGCAGATTAACGCGTGCTCTGATTTGTGAAAGTATGCATGGATCTATGACTTGGACAACTCAACTTAGACAATAAAAAGCATTCAAAACAATATTAAGCAACTGGCTACTTTTAAGGTTTCCCCAGAAGAAAAGGTAGAAAAGTTCATAGGAAAAGAGAAAAATTTATGAGGATCAAAACAATACTTCATGCAAAGCCAGAATACCAAGGATTACAGAGCAAGCAAGAACGAGTAATCTAAAAACATCAAAACCTATTGCTAGAAGATATGTATAAATAAGCCTTCACAAGAGAAGGAAAATAAAGCCAAGAACGGCAAATTGGGGGCCAAAAGAGGAAGGCAATGCACATAGAAACTTTAAACTTGAAGCAGATACTGACCAGAAATGTTAGAGGAAGACACGTGAACAATGGGTTTCCTGCAGGAATTTCCCATAGAGAAGAAAGAGTCTTGTTAGACGGGAGAGGAGGAAAGCAAGAAGGAAAGCCACAGAAGGAAGCCAGTGAGTGGGGTTTTAAGGAAGACGAAGATGTGAATGGAAGGGCCATTGATGGCGATTGCTATGAAACAGAGGAAGAAGCAGCGTAGTCAACAGGGGAAAATAAGCACCAGCTGGAAACTTGAATCGAAATTTACCCATTTTTTTAATTAAAAACGATATCCAACAAACGAAAAACTGCACCTACCACTAAATTACTTGAGCTAGTGGTTAAGGATTAGTGATTCTGAGTCTGACTAAAATCAACTCGAGATGATCATATTAAAACAACATAATTTAATTAAAAATAATAAAATAATAATATTAATAATCACTAACAACAAAATACAAAAAAATAATTTTTCAGTCTTTAATGTAGGATCTAATTACAAAGTTTATATTGATCCTATATGTAAGATTTATTTCATATGTTTATCAATTTTTTTAAATTAACTCCATTAATATTCTCTAACAATAATCAAGTAGGAGAAGGACGGAGAAAATTAAGTAACATGAGTTGTCAATGCTTGTTATTAATTTTTACATTTTACGTTATCAATGACTGCTCTTTCAGTTGTCAATAAAAACTTAAAAAAATAAGGACAATTTGGTAATTAAACAAATAAAATTTATTACAATGAGATCTCTTAAAACTTAAGAATAATTTGATAATTTTAAGAGACTTTTTTGTATTTAATTTTTTTGGGTGGAACCTTATTGCAGTTATCCCTTTAATTTATAGGTTATCCGTTGACCAATTTAATTAATATTTTTAATCTACTTAAATTAATTAATTAGATGTTATATTAAAAATCAAAAGACCACCACAATAGTTTTATGGTAAACGTACCAACACACCAACGGGAAAGGTCATGGGTCCTACCTGGTTTAATCCATGGGTCATCCGTTGACTATGCTTCAGCTTTTTTAGTTTTTTTCCAACTCTTGGCTTCACGCCTTCACATGAAAGATCACTCTATTTCGGCTTTGGATGGGTTAACGGAGCGGCAATGCCATTCGCGATTATTTGAGGTTCCAAGTGGTGCAATGAAAGGGACCAAGAGAGAAACCCCGCGGGGTTAGGTCAGCTGGCTGAGGCTGTTCTAGCTTAACCACGGGTCTCGAGTTCGAGCCGTGGGAACGCAGCACCCTGAGGAGCCAGAGGGCGCCGACCGAAAGGTTCCTTGCAAGCCTTCGATCCGGATTAGTCTGGGGCCGCTGTCACGGCTGAAAGATGCCTATTGCCCTGGGATACCGGAGGAGAAATCTAAAAAAGGGACCAAGAGAGATATTGAGTTTTTATTTTTGTCAAATATTCTTTGTCTTGGAAAATTTTACTAAAAAATGTTGAATACCAAAAGTTTCCTTAGATTTAATATTGACTTAGAAGTTTAAAATTATATCAATTTTCCTCTTTGTTATTAAAAATTAATTATGATATTATAACTAATTATTATTTAAATAATAATTACTTCTCAAAGTTGCATTAATTATGTTAAATTAATACATATGGAAATAAGGAGAGAGAATCTCATAAAAAGAAGCTCGACAATATTGAATTTGTAAGTAACATATTTTTGTAAAAAATTTTTATTTAAAATTTGGTAATTTGAAGAAGCTTTTTTTTCTCATGAAATTCATCATTCTCCCAAGTCATAAATAATTTAGATATATATTTCTTAATTATAATAATCAGATAATATTGGTTAAAACATTCAAAAATGTAATGAAAATACTGAATAACACAAGAACAACAATATATAAGATCTTTGAATTTACAAATATAATTGGATAAATTTACAAGATGCTTGATTAAGGAAGAAGATATTTACGTACTGAGAGCAAAAAAAAAAAAAAAAAAGACTCAGGCAAAGAACGTGAAAATTTTGGCTTGACTTGTTATGGATTTATACCTTTAATTAATAAAATAAATTGATTTGGTCAATAACAAAATTGCTTTATTTCAATTCAATTTGACCTTTAGGCTTCCTTGTTGGCCACACAGCATTCGTACACAATTTCGCAGAGCTGGCATCTTAAGGCTAAGAACAATACCAGCTACCACAACTTTCTTGGACGGCAAGAATTTTTTCCCCATTTTATGTGCAATGCTAATGACCGTCTAAAAAATACGATTATTCTCTTAATTTTATAAAATATTTTTTCAGTCATCTAATTTTAATATTATTAGTCTCAAACAATATCTTTTCACTGGTCATTGTTATTTTTTAAAAATTAAAACTTACTATGTCAATACTTAAAAATATTTTGTCAATATTTAAAATTTCAATATCAACAATAAAACTAATACGATTAATGTTAGTGGACTACAAAGACATTTTATAAAATTAAAGAATTAAAATGAAAGCCTGCAAAGGTCGGGTCCGACTGGTCGCAAACGGGAACGCAAGGCACCTTCCCTACCACGTCATGGGCTCGATACCTGCGCGAGGCACCCTGGGATTAGTCTGGCCGATAAGCTGGGATACCCTGAGTTAGCGATACCATCCTACTCAAAAAAAAAAAAAGAATTAAAATGAAACCTTACACTTTTTTCTGTTATAAACACAATATCTCAATTTATTTTGTCTTATAAATTTTTTTTTTTTGCTAAATCTAGTTGTATATATTAAAAGGCTTTTGTATTATTAAGAAAGTAATTTTCAGTACAAATTATGAAACTTAGCGCTCTAAGAAAACAAATGCACTTTTTTTTTCACAAATAACTAACAGAATCAATTTTTTTAATATCTTTAAATTAATTATCTAACTCCTAAATTTAATACCGAGAGGAATATGAAATTAAAAAATTAAAAAGTAATTTTTATCCATAAAAATTTATTCTTATATCTACCTGTGGAGAGTGGAGACCGTGTCAGTTATATATTTATTATTATAATTATAATTATAATTGCTGTATTTTCCCTTATTAATCCTTATATTTGACTTTTGAGTGAAGAGATGACATGGTCAAGCAGAAAAGGACGTTATGTTAATTTCACGGGAAATGGTCAATAAGTGGCGTATTCAGGTTAGGTGGCCACAAAAAAATTAAAACTAATTAATTATCAACATTTGGAACATGATCCATGACGATGTCCTCAATGCCATGTCACTAATTAACATTTAATTAAATTTTATATTTTTTTAATATTCATTTAAAATATACGAAAATTAATTATATTACGTTTATAAATAATTCCCAACGCATTACTATTACCGTGATATGCATAAAATTCAATAAACTGCTAAATAATGCTATCTATAGGCTTAACCATAATTTATTTTGTTTATAAACATATTTGGAGGGAATAAAAAATAAATGAAGTAAATGAAAAAGAGAGGCCATGCGTTGTAATGAAATTTATTATGATTCAGATAAATAAAGGAGAATAGTTAGGTGAATGTTTTGTTAATGTGAGGTTTTGAATTCAAACCATGGACAAGAGATATATAATGAAAGGAGAATTGCAATAAGGTTTAAAAAGAAACATATTTCAGGAAAAAAAATTTATAACAATACAATTGTAATAACAAATTTTAGAGCTAAAAATAATGCTCATCCAGTCCTTAATATATGACCTAATTGTTGAGTTGGTTTTAGTCCTAAATATAAGACCCATTTCTCATATTTATCAATTTTTTCTAAATTATTCCTATAGATACTCCTTCAATCATAATCAAGCAGAAGAGGGAGAGAAGGTATTAAGAAAGATGATATAATATTTTAGGAAAAACGTGTCACATTTCTTATAATTAACTAACTTAGCTAATTTTCTTAATCTAATCAAATTAGTTAAATAGGTCTTATATTAAAGATCGAAGGAGTAATAGGTTTTAACTTGTCACTTGTTATTATGATTTTTAATAATAATGTTCTTGATCTGGAAGCTCATGTAGTAATTCTATAAATTATGATAAAAAAATATTTTTAAAAATTAACGAAGCTTTTGACTGTGGATTCATAGATTCGTAGTCCCATTTGATAGGACACATAGCTTTTACAATGTCAAACACATAACGTGCGATTTGGTTCCGGAAGACTTCTGAGATCCATCCGGATCTGTACACACACACAGACACACCTCATTATCAAGCATACAAGGGAAAAAAAAAGGTATTTCAATAATATTTTGCTATTTTCGTTTCTAATTATAAGATCTCATTTATAGTGCAAATAATTATATAACTAATTTATATTTCTTTAGTTTTCATTTACTTATCTTCATAGAAAAATCATACAAGTCAATAAAAAACCTAAAATCAATGTAATATGTAATAATAATTATTTTTTAGTTTCTTTTCCGTCAATTAATATCGTGTTATTTTAAATATTAATAAATTACATTCAATCTACATTCAATAGGAGTATTATTTTAAATCGAATTATCATCAAGGTGATAACCAACTAATAATATTTATTTTTTTGTTATTGTTAAAACAAAAATTTAGAAATAATAAAATGTAAACTGTATAAATCATATCTTAAAGATCTGAAACTGACCTCATGAATTTGAAAAAATTACTCCATCAATTATATTCTTTCTGTTTTTTATTTTTGGCATTGCATGCATAATTCTTGAATTACACTATCGGTCATTAGGAATTTTCTTTTATTAATTTATTTTATCCTTTTTTTCACCAACCCGTAATCTCAGTGATAAAGTTTTCAATTTTTATATTCTTTTTGGCCGGCGTTTTCAATTTCTATATTAAATATAGAAAACTCGGAACTCATTTCCAGGATTTTTTTTTCCAATTGCATTAGACCCCACCAAATTAATTAGTTGCTATGCTAATTAAATGAACAAAATATATATTTAAGTAATTTCGTGACGTGTATGCCCAAAAACTATAATTGGTCCATGACGCACACATGCCTCATGCTTGCCGCGTAATGAAAATAGTTGCATTAAGAGCTAATTAATACTCTCTATTATTCTAAATATAAGACCTACTTTGTAGTGTA